TTGCAGGCATTCAAATGACAAAGCTAGTGCCTTTGGACACATAAAAAATAAGGGAGAAGTATTACTTTTTTTTTTTTTTTTGTTATGCTCTACTAACTCCCAGGAATTCATTTACAAGTTCTGGAGCATCTTCTTGAAATCTATCTGCAGGTTCCCAAGTTGATTCATTTTCAGGATATCGGCGCCATTTAACAAGGTATTGTTTTTTACCTTTATAAGTCCTTTGCTTAAGAATTTTTTCAGGAATGAATTTATCTTGTTTTCCACGAATTACAGAATCTGGAGGTGGATTCTCATTATTTGGGACTACTTGGAGTTGTTTTCTAATATAAGCACAACTAGATACTCCTAGCTTGCCATGAGGACCATCTACAAGATAGGTTGGGGGTTGCCCAGGAGTAAGCATAAGTTTCTTAATAATTTGAATTTTTGGATTCCATCTAATATCTCCTGTGCAAAATTTACCATGTAACTTTTGACCAAGAACTGACATAGGCTCAAATAGCATAACTCGAACTCTAGTCCCTTCTGGTCCCAAAGTAGTTTGGGCTTTGAGAAAACAGTTTGGACCAGAAACCTTAGTCAACAATCACTTCACCAACAATTGTTTCGTTAACAATTTAAGAAGTTGGAAGCAGCCCATGTGACAAACGTCTAATAAATTAAATCGTACTACTCGAAAATGTATTTAAATGGTTGGTTTTGACTTGGTTGAAGAATAACTCTCTTCCTAAGACCATATGAATGTAAACACAACCAATTTAAGATATACGATTAAGACAAAACATGAAAAAATCAAACAAATTTATTTAATAAAAACAAAATTTACAACCAAAAATTTTTTTTTGATTGTTGCTGATTCAACATTGCCCGGATCATCAATTAACTGTATTTTCGATAAATTCATTTTTGTTTAATCTTTTCGTCATGACAATTTTTTTGAAGATAGTCCAAGCATATCAAACATTTATATTGGCACCTTTATAGACAATGATTGTGATGACCATATCTACATATGAGTACATTGATCATATTAAATTGAATTGTTTTCGTTCTAGTATTACAAAAATTAATTAATTAATAGAAGTTACATGAATTTAAAGACTTTTTTTAAACTTTTTTTCTTATACTCTATAATATGATTATAAACATTAGTAGTTTGCCTTTTCTACTCTTTTTTTTTTCAAAATTACAAAACTCTTTTGCAAATATGGGACATAGTAAGAAACAAAAATTACATAAAATTGTACAGCACGTTTTGCCTCAGATTATTATTCCAAGTGAACCAGAAAAAAATCCAAGTACGCCAAACAGATCAGAATATACAGATATTCTTAATGAAGAAGAAGACATTTCAAGCGACAAAGAAGAATTTAATCCGGAGATGAAACCATAAACGAATAATTGATGATATAAAAGAAGATAGAAGTGTACAAAAGAAAATTCGTAAGTAACTATATAATTTATTATTTTCTTTATAATCATTTATTTATTTATTTTAATTTCTTTTAAGATATAATTCAACAATTAGTGATATGAAAAATATACAGAATCAAATGTTCATGATCATTCAAGATATGCAAAGGTTAACGAAATGTATGTAGATTGGAAAGCAGCTGGCTTTGGTAGTAGTCAAGTAGAAAGTAATACAAAGTGGATAAATGTAAGAATTGAGCATTATTTTATTTATTACATTATAGGACGCAGTCAGTCAAGCAATTTATGCTGAATCTGAGAAGGTCAATCCAAATGATGAACACTTAATGCAAGTATGTTATGATGCTTTGTTGAACGCAAATAAGAAAGAATTTCAAAATAAAAAATGGTGGTTGGAAATGATTTTTTAATAAACATATTCATTCATTAATAAGTAAAAGGTATTAAATTATTTTACTTGTTTCATTTATTGTATTTTAACAGGCTCAGCGAATTTCATGTCAAGCACGAAGCAATATCGTACAGTGTATTAAAGATACTATCCACAACGATCTTTTTCTAAACCTAAAACAGAAAATCGGCAAGTTGCACGAAAAGAAGAACGAAGATTTAAGGATGCTGAAATTACACGGGAGTGTTATATGTAACTAAACAAACCTGTTGAGTCCAGTAATCCAACTTGTACCTATCTTAATTTAATTATTGATTGTGCATTTATTGATCCAAATACAGAAAAAAATTCAATTGCATTTGGAATGGCATTTATATTAGATCCTTCAAAAGGCATCAAATTGGTTTAAAGCGAAAATGTGTAGCAAATGAATACATTTCTTGAGATGATCCAAGTTGCAGAACGTGAAGAAGAATGACTTAGAATGCATCTATCTATAAAATATTATATAATTTACTGTATTTGCTTTATTTGTTTATAAATATAAAATCAATACTATTAAAAAAAAATATATTAAGAGTATTTAAATTTAAGCATTTTAATTGTATTTAATTTTAACATTATACTAATATAGGCATTAGCCAATTGTAGCAAAATACTAATATCCGTCAAATATAGGGTACATCGAAACTTGTTTAGTAAGTACTTAAAATAATTACTATTAAACTATTTTATAGGTACTTTATTAGTGCTTTGTTATACATTGTGATGTTACTCCTCCCTCCTGCAGAGAAAGAAAATTGCAATGATCTAATTCATATTGGAGTTTTCATGAAAGATTGCATTGATTCAGCTGCAAATAAAGGCTCAGACATAAAGGTCTTTTGATGATGGTTACTTTTTTCCTTTTATGTAACTCCTATAATAAAATTTGCTGGAATTGATTTTTATATGATGGAACTTAGTGCTGTTGTATGTGAAATTGAAATTATGTGAAATTGAAATATTATGGAGTGGAGTGAGATTCTGATTGGCTAATTTGAATTTCACGCATGTAAATTTGAATTTCACATATGTGAATTGCGAATTCACATAATTTCATTTTCACGTACAACAGTGCTAAAGGACTATATTTCATGTACAACATTAGACAAGTTTTGATTCCTACTTCAGTAAAGAAAGTGTCACATTATTTTGAAACTTTTCTTGTGGTATGCGAATTAAATAATATAATAATAATAAGGTAAATATTTATTTAAACATAATTGCATAAATAAAATAAATAAAAAAAAAGAAAAGCAGGAGTTTAAACGACAATGCTATCCCAGATATCCCTGCAGCACCAATACTCTGTAACACCGAACAAAGACTTCCAGTAACAACATATCCACCATACAAAGCCATATATGCAGCAGCCCAGGTTCCTTTAACTATTCCGCCAACGCCAAAACCTATCATTCGGACTATCCAGACAATTATTGTTCCCCCAGTAATAATAACTAAAAAGAGACAAATTAAAAACAATATTGCGATTCCAATACCTTTATAAATGTCATTGAAAGTTGATTGAGTTTCAATTTCATTTGGTGTAGAGACGCCGATGACAGGTTGACATAATAACATGATAATGACAATAAAGATGACTACCACCAAGTAGACACTATAAAATGAAATTTAAAATAAATAAAGCATAAGCAGTATGTATCAAAAAGTAAAAAAAAAAATTAAGAGTTTACCTTTTATTGGATTTATTAGAGTTGTTAGCCATTATTATTTCTTGAAGTTAAAAATCAATAATATTTTATAAAAATATTTTTATCCATAAAAAGGTACAATGAGCATTTTTTACTCAATTATCTTGTGTAACTGAATTGAAATGAAATTTTGTATGGATCCTTCATTTATTTTCGGAGTTTACTTTACGGATAACAATTTCAAAGTTTTAATATTAATATTAATGTGAATGAAAAAATTCATTCGGGAAAAAAATTTGCGAGAAAAAAATCATCTATCATCAACTGAATACAAAATTTTAGACAGTAAATTCTTTTTATAGTCATTAACAATAATAATACGCAACAGTTAATTGGCTACGCATTTAAAAAAAATTTTTCATTGACTACTAATACTAATACTAATACTAATGTAAAGATTTTAACATAATACTAAATTAATACCAATAATAATAAAGAAATAATTTGCAATCTGCATATCAAAATATATTAATATTATTTTTTGTTTTTCAACAAAATAAAATTGATTGATTTTCTATTTTCGGAGTTGGTATTCTCTGCGCCAAAATGCCATTGTATCTTTTTATAGGCAACAAAAATATTATAAAATATTATTAACTTAACTTCAAGAAAATAACAATGGAAACAATAAACTACTCTAATAAAAGGTAAGCTCTAACTAACTAATTTTGTTTACCTTTTTGTAACATGCCGCTTATGCTTTTATTCTTTTTTTTAATTCGATTTTGTAGCACCTACCAGGCAGTGGTCATTTTTATTGTCGTTATTATTATATTATTATGTCAATCTGTCGTCAGCATTCCTGTACCCGAAAATCAGTTGGATGAGAATAAAATTGAAACTCCATCAATATTCTTCGTACAGAATCCCAACATCAATGAAATTGTTAACACTCACCAGTTTGATGAAATTCCCTACAAGACCACGACTGACTTTCCGGCAGTTGATGATATAACAAAATTTTTCAAAGACATCGGTGATGCTATAACCAAATTTTTCGAATTCAATTTTGGCATCATTATCGAAATTGTTATTGGAATCGGAATATTTATTTTAATTTGTCTCTTTCCAACTATTTTGGTCGGAATAATCCGAGCAATAGGCTTTAGTGCTAAAAGAATAGGTAAAGGAACCTGGGCTGCTACATGTATGGCTGCGCATGGTGGATATGTTGTTGCTGGAAGCCTTTGTTCTGTGCTGCAAAGTGTTGGTGCTAAGGGATATCTGGGTTAGGAGGGTTGCTTAAACTCCTGGGTAAACTCATTGAAATATTTCAACGTACGATATTCTGTTGTTGAATTCCTTTTAGAATTAATTTTATCATTGTATTAGATAGATAATTTATAATTAATATCGTGTGGGATTTGTGTTCAAGTTTGATTTTACACAATTATCAAGTTCGAGATATTTTATATTGAATTTCTTTTTTTACAAAATTCAATGAATCAAATAAACACTTAATTATGAAATATGCTTTTAGTATAATTTTACATCCCACATACTTGAAATTTTCCCTTTTTTTCCATATGTATCCGTATGCTTTCAGTGTGTGAAAACATACGGAAAAGTGCTCTTTTGCTGGAAGAATAATAGTAGTTAATAATAATATTAGCAACAATGAGCCTTTAAATACTTTAAATAATAATGGTGAATAATTTGGTTAATTCTTGGCCGATTGAGAGTCAAGTAAACTACAATTTTTTATTATTATTCGAAGATAATAAATTGTAAATATTATTAATAAAAAACATAAAAAACATTATTAACATCAAACTGTTAATTACCTTTCAAACTGTTTGAGAAAATCCATCCAAACACACATAAACATAAATTTGATATAAAAAATTATTATCAGAATGAGAACGCAGCTACATAAATAAAAATGCAGATTATAAAATTTACATTATTCAAAAGTATACTTTTCATTCGTTAACTATAGAGAAATGACTTACAGCTCTTTTTTACAACAAACTATTATATATGTGTTTAATATGAGTGGACAATTTCAAATTAAACCTTCTACTAGTAGAAAAAAAGGTAGAATACTATGATTCAGAAGGTCATTACAAAAAATTGTACCTCAGTTATATATATCATTTAAATTTAGTATGTAGTAAGTATTACAATAAATTAATTGTTAATGCAAAAAAAAAAAAACAATAAAGACTAAGATTTGCTCTCATCCCAAGCATAAAATATATTTGACTATAGCATAAAGAAACACCTCATTTAAAAAAGCATCTGGAAGACTAATTAAATATTTTGAATTATCTGAGACAGCTGTAATGTGCTATCACTGTTTATTCAAATTATTTACCACCAATTAAAAGAACTTCAAAAGAAGATATATACATTATTATCATTATTATTTAATTCACACACTACAAGGAAAGTTTCCAAGTCATCAATGAAATGTGATATTTCCTTTATTAAAATAGGGAAATTTGTCTGACTAAATATAGTCTTTAGCACTAAGTTCCATCATGTAAAAAATTAATTATATATTCTAGAATAAAGTCAAATTTTTGATGTAATTTAATGTAATATTGGTGATACTAATGTTAATAAGCATAATAATTAGTATTTATTATCAATTTTATTTATATTAATAATTTTTTTTAATATTAAATATAAAATATAAAATATTTTACTTACAGCACCCATTCATTAATAATGTCATTATCCCAAGTAAGTTGAAACAGTCCATGATTTATAGTTTTCTCAAGCCATAAGCATTATATATTCATTAATTGAATGTAATAATGATGATGATGATAACAAGAAATTTATTTAAAATTTAAACTTCATCATCACTTTTTCTTGAATCTACATAAGTAGAACCATCATCATCATTAGTATCATCATCATCATCATCAGAATTATTATCATTAGTAGCATTACCATTATTGTTACAATAATGATAGTTAACCGAGTTGTTACAATCGAGGTAATTATAGTAGTTGATGTGTAGCATTGAAATTATTGTTGTTGTTGTTGTTGTAAATGTTGAGAGGAAACCTTTGTTTTGAACGCGAAAATCACGTGAGTGATCTTCCTATACATTAAATACAGAGCCAGTCTTCCGTACATTAGTATTATTTAAAATTATTCTTTGATGTGACAATAATAATAATCATGGCAATAGTGATGGGTGGGTGATGATATCAACAATAACAATAACATTAAGTAGTAATATATGTGTAATGATCAACGTTCATGAAATTTGTGATTAGAACCAATAAAAATTGGTGATCTGGATAGTGGGTTACACCAATTAAATTCAAAGAATGTCTAGTAAGTGTAATCCCCTTCCCTTGCAGAAGTTCTGTATGTTTATTTCACCCCTCCTTTGTGTAAAGGCCTTTCATTTTCACCCTTCCTTTGTTGGAAGTGTCTCTTGTTTTTCACCCTTCCTTTGTGCAGGTGTCTCTTGTTTTTCACCCTTCCTTTGTGGAAGTGTCTCTTGTTTCTCACCCTTCCTTTGTGCAAGTGTCTCTTGTTTCTCGCCCTCCCTTTGTGGAAGTTCTTTTTGTTTATTTTGCCTCTCTTCATAACATTATAGATCAATTCAACCAATAATATACAACTATTGTGCCAAACCTAACCAAGCTGTGTAAAGGACAGTTAATTCGTATAAACAGATATAATATTGAAGAGTGGCTAAAAATAAAAGAGGGTCAAATACTATAGTGGATAAATACATGTTAATTTCAATTACTAATAACAAATTTTGCTAATTTTAGATTTGCACATATTCGTTTTCATACCCATCAGGAAATTTAATATTACATAATTTTTTATGCAAATATTACAACTTTACATATTAAAACCCATGGATGTAATATTACAGTGGGAAATTTTCCCAGATGCCCATGAAAAGGCATGTGGATTTCATGAGTTGACAAGACAAAGATGGTATAATGGACTAAATAACATACCAGTATCATAACTGAATATAGCAGTGAGATATGATGGTAATGATAATAATAATGACGATGAACATAATGAACATAATATAATGTAAGGGTAAATGTTTTAATTAATATTTATTAATGATTAATGATTGATTAATGAGCTGTTTTCATTTTTCTGTATTTTTTTATTTAGGAATCACCATCATCACCATCAACAGCAAACATGTCAGCATCAACATTATCATCAACAACATCATTATTAAACATGTCAGCATTGACATCATCAACAACATAAGGTTGTGAGCGAAACTTCTCCAGAAATCAATTGACAGAGTTTCCAACAGGTTACACATGAATTATTTATTAGAATTTCAGCATTATTATTATTTGATGTTAACGAAACAACAAATAAACAAAGATAATAAATAAATAGTTTTTATTGCTTTCCCTAAGTGAAATAATTAATTTTATTACAAATATTGTGCTTTTCTACCCATAATCCCAAGCTGGCCTTAAAGTCATGTTTGACTATCAAAAGTTGAAATCTTTTAATGACTGTGATTTTTTATTTTATAATAATCGTCAAACCAATCAAAATTAGATTTTATGTGATAATTTGAGATAAGATTGACAAAAATTTGGCCAATGAAATAATTGTTTTGTGATATGCAACAGCATCCACATGCTCCAACAATGTACTTGGACGATTTGGAAATCCTTGCCAACAATAGATCCATAAGTCTAAGAAATTATTTTACAGAAGGCTTCAATAAAGGATTGCCAGAAGACAGGTTTAAATATGAGTTAATATTGCCATGTAGGTAAATATATTAGAAGCATGAACATATAATCAATTAATCAAAGATTCAAAACTAACTAATCATTCAAAAATACCATTGAAACTGAAGAACCACTACAAATTATAATGAATGGAGTAATTAAAAATCACTATATATAAATTTTTTTCAGTGTGTTTTTTTCTTTGAAATAAAAAATCAAAAAAGTCAAAACAAGTAAGTGTTATTTATTTTTTAAAAAAAGAATGGTGGTTATTACTACTTGTCATCACTCTAGTTTTTTTAAAAATCTATAGAAAAAATGCTATATTATAAAAGCAATAAAAACATTTTTTTAACCTGGAATATGTTGTTTTTTTATGACTTTCCTTAGGAAGAACATACAATCTTAGAAAATCAAGAAAGATTGAATTATACCGAAACCTGACCCAGATATATACTATGTAATTATTCTTTTTACTAATTTACATAATCAAAAATTATACAATTCTCATTATTTTTGAATTCATCAAGTATTGTGAATGAACACCCTGCCCTACAATTCGGAATGTTGTGCAACAATACATGTGTTGAAAATTGATTATATGTTATATATAATCAGTTTTTTTGGCATTAGAGCCTGGAGTTTTGATAAATGGATAAGATATCTGTGAATATCCATGATATCAATATCCTAAGGATTTACAATCCGGATCCAAGCTCTATTTGGTATTACAATTAAAGGGTTTGCCTTCAACACAACAATACATCTTGTTAAGAAAAGGCTTTATATGAAAAAATTCGATAACTAAAAGGCTTGGCATAATCTTCCAGGCAGATTATTCAGAAATTATTACGAAAATAATGATAAAGACAGAAGATAGCAAACAAGCAGGGGGATCTAGTTAAGGCTCTGAATGAATTGAATCAAATTGAATTCCTAAATTTTTTTTTTATTGTCATTAAATTCATATATTACACAGTGAATCTCAAGTTGTGTATTCAGAAAAATTTTATTCTTTAGTTGATGATGATATTGAAGGTTTAGGAGAATGGATACATTCACCTGATGATGATTTAACACCTGTAACAGAAGATGGTATGGATGAAATCCTTTTTATATGATACTCAATAAAATTAAGAATAGATTTGAATAGAGGTGCATATATTTTAATAAAAATAACCTCTCCTTCACATATAAAAAATTATTTTTTGTGTATTGTGGTTAAGTTGATCTTGGTGAAATCCACTGTGATTTTTGTGCACGAAACCATTTTATTTTGATCTCATTTGGTCAATAATTAAAATGTTCAAATATTCATTTGATCATTAAATTAATTATTCAGTGAATGATTATTCATTGATTATTTGGTGAATATTCATTGTTAACAAAAAATTTTAAATTTATTAATCATTTTACATTCTATCAAAACCATAGTGGATTAAGTTTTGTTCCTTTTTGAACTCCCAGCTTGGCTAAATAACCTCTTCCACTTGGAGTGAATGTAGCAAGTGCGCACAAGTGTTTGGACAAACCCAGAGATCTATATTTATCATGTATAATGGATCATTTCTCAATATCCAACTTGACTTCTTAGAACCACTCTTTGCTTTTCTTCAAAATATGAGCAGCAGCAGAAGGCTCTTTCCTTCCCTTTCATTATTGTATTATTACTTTTTCTTATTTATAGTAATAGTGACTGAATGCTCTTCTTTCATTTTAAATGAATGGAAATGAAATATTTAATTAATTACAAACAGATGGATTAAACAAGAATTTATTTGGAGATGAGAAAATTCATTTCAATTCACATTGATTATCAGTTATTCACTGAACATTCACCAAATATTCAATGAATATTATTCATCAAGTGCAACCTTTATATATTCTTTAGTGAAAAACAAAAAAAAAAATCTAACGAAACAAAAATGAGGATTTCCTGGTGTAAAAGAATAACAAATACCTGATGTTGCTGTTGTAAACACAGTATTTGGTATTTGAAAATGATTGTTTATTAATATTATCTATAGCAATAACGTTGAAAGCTTCATCTTGTAAACCTATTCCAGCAATAAGTGTGCTGAACACTCTTGAGCATTCGATAATTTTGTTGGCTGGATTGATGGATGCAAGTATTGGGTTCAATAATAAATATTTACTATTATGTTCAATTGTATGCATTTTATTGATACTTAATAATAATTGTGTGGTATTTGGTATGCATGGATATCTATTTGAGATCAAGATGTTGTTAATATGGAAGGACAGTTTATGCTTATGAGGTCATTCACAATTCTGTCAAATTATGGTAATGTTCATGAATCAGGAATTTAGAATTTATGCCTATATTTTATGTATCTTCTTAATAAATACTTAGTTGGCCCATTCCTATTTATAACGTTGCAGCTGATGATGGAGAAGGAGGTATCAACAAGAGGAGAAGTAAAATTTGATAATGATAAAATACAGATTTTAAAGAGAAAACTTTGTGAAATTATGCAAACTATGCCATCACCACCTAATACTAAGCAAGAAAAAAGAGGATTTCGATTGATTTTTTCTAAGATTTTTTCACCAACCTCATTGAGTTGGATGGCTGCAAATTAATACTTTTTTCTAAGGTCTTTAGTTAAGCTTCTTTTTCCAAGATTTTTCCTTCTAAAATTTTTTTCCAAGGTTTTAATTAATTAATTAACTTTTATATTAATAATTCAGAGAGTAGAGGCAGAAATATAAAATTATTTTTTACAAATAAACGGGTCTGGGTCACTTTACTGACACCCACTTTACCAACAAGACACTTTACCAACAATCAAGTAAGGTTTCTGGCCCAAACTGTTTCTCAAAGCTCGAACTATTTTGGCAATTTGGGCTTTTCAACATTTTTATATAATAAGGTTGTGAGTTTAACATTCCAAATAATTACTCTTTTTTTTTTTCAAAATATTCAAATGCAAGAGAAAAGATTTAATTATTTTATTTATTAAAAATAATCAATTAAATGTTAATAAATAAATTTAATAAAACAACTAGGTGCGGCCAGTAAAGACACTGAGCCTAAATACACAACGAAAAGAGGCCCATACAACTGGGACCTACATACAAAAGAGTAAAAGGCTCAACGTACTAAGGCAGATATTGCCAATATATATCACAAATATATATTGAAGATAGTTATTCTGCGATGATCGCTTCCAATTTTTATTTTCGTGCTACTTGTAAATCATTTCCGATTTATAAGTAAAATCATCTACACCAAGAATATTATTTTCATCAGTAGATGTGGCAATGGTGCTTGAAGTATACATGAAGTCGAAACTATTTTGACCATTTGCAGATCTGGTCGAAATAGGGTCGAAATAAGGTCGAAACTGATTTTTACTATGTAGTTGCCTCAAGTCAAAACATTTCGACTTTGGGGTTTTAATTTCGACTTCATGTATAGCTTGAAGTATCAGAATCAATAAAATTATTTATATGTAAATTCTTCTTTTTATTTAACAATAAATTCATCAATTAAAACATCATTAATATTTGGATCTTTGACATTTTCCTCGTTATTCAATGTTGATTCTAACATCTTATCTTCTTCAGAATATAAATTTATCAAAGTTAATAATAATAATAATAATTAATCAACACTGCATTTATTTATTGAATGAAAGTAAAAATAAATACCTATACAAGGAGCCAATAATTATTGACCAAAGTCTTTATCGCATATTATTATTGTATTAAAGTAATTTTTGCAGCGTATGGTTGACTTAAATCGGCCAAAGAAAAGTAAATAAAAAAGGAACTCTATAAGAGCATTTGTTGCTTCGTAGAAGGGTCGTCTTTATTTATTGTTAATTGCACCATAAAGTGTACTTGCAGATTCGCCAAAGCTTTCTAGTTACAAGAATAGGAAATAAGCAAAATAGTTTCGTTAATTAACAAACGAGTGTAGCTAAAGCTAACTCGAAACTCGGTCATGAACGTAAAATAATTGAGGTTGACTAAAAAGCTACCCTCGTATTATTTACAAGCAAAATTTATATTTTTGTTCGAGAATGTCCAGAACATTTAAGTAGCAGGCAGTACATGTACATGTAGATCTGCTGACAACGCTGTATAAGAAGCTGCTGCAGGTTCAGAGTATTATATACATTTACAAAATAAAAAACCTTCTCGAGAGATACAAACATTGATATATCCCTCATGGAGGGAGGGTAGGCTCTGATCTCAAAATCCCAGCTATCACATAATTAAGATTGTCTTGACTTAATTTTGATAGAAATGATGCTGAAAAGATCTAATATGAATTTTTCCTTTGTTAATTTTTCATTTTCATTAATGATACTAATAAAAAGTTTATAGATCTTTCCTTTTTTTTTCAAAGAGCAACATCGAGAACTTTAAAATGATTTTCTTTAATTAGAGCATAATATCCTTCTTTTTAAGTATCTTATATCGTTTATATATTGCTTATAAATCTTTGTGTGCATAGAATTAACTTTTCTGACTTATTTGCTCACCATTTGCACAATTTCATGAAAGAATACCGGAATACTTTGAACTTGCTCGTTCTGTACAAACTGTAGTTTCTTTTATATTTCTCACTTTGAAGTACTAATTATTTACTTGTTTGACAGGAAAGCCACATTAATTTTTTAAAAGAAATCAATGACCTCAAAATCTCTGCTAACATTTCGGTCACAAATCTTGATCATGAGTTTTTCAGATCAGAGTTTCTCCATAGAAGGAAATACGTTGGGGATGGAAAAATCAGAAAATATTCTAAGAATGAATTATAACAATTTGATAGAAAACCGCGAAATGCAATTTTCTGTACTAAATTCTCTTCTGATGAACTAGAAGTGGACATTATCGAAATCTAAAACCATCTTCTTGTGACTTATTTCCTTCATAATAATATTGCTCAAGACCAAGAGAAAAATTATTATTTTTATTTATTTTTATTTTTAAATTTTCTATTTTTATTTTGTGTTATTAATTATTATTTAATTATTTCGTAACACGTTAATATTTAGTATTATTATTATTATTAGAATTATTAAATGGCTAATTCGCCATTACACAAGAGGCGTGGAATAATTGAAAAAACAATATTGCGATATCGTTGTTAGAGGGTTAATTTTCAATGGAATGGTTATTAATTAATTGATTTGTGTATAAGAAGCTTGAAATCGCCGTACCTTCAAAACAAAAGGTTTATTAGTTTCGACTAAATAAAATGAATAAACATTTTCTTAAATCATTATCCGCCAATAACAACTAATTCGTTAGTATAGCCACATAATCAAAATTTATTTTAACCCAATTATGTGTTTAACATAACATAAATTAACTCATAAGATAATCCAATTTCATCAACATGGATTAAATAAATTCCTATAACAAAATAAATAATCCATTTTTACAATGTTTAATCTCCATTTAGTATAGAATTCTTTTCTATTTTCTGACATTCTTCACACAATGGATAAATTTGTTTGAAATATTCCTTTAGAGATTGAAGAGGAATCACCAAATTATACATGCAGCCCAAAGTATTTTGACACTGTCATAAAGGGGTGTTACACTTATGTTTTTAATAGTGAGTGCAGTTAATTAATTCCTATTTTCTACCATCAAAATTGGAATAGTTTGGACCATTTGAAATCACCAAACCAATTTGGGTTGCATGTATAACACCGAATCTTCACATTCTCCATAATGATAACAGATTGAATAATCCTCTGCTTTTGGACTTTTCTTGTCTAATGAAAATTTGCACCTCTCTATCATTATATTGTCCTAGTGTCATTGCATCAAAAAGGTCATAAAACTGATCATTTGTGGATTCTCGTTACACATTTAGGAATAACACACTAGACACTTTCGTTAACTATAAGGCATTAAGAAGAAAAATATGTTGCAAATCTTAATCATTTTGTTTAACATTAAGGAGTGAATAAAATATCACATGACTAAACATATTACAATTCTATTGGCCGTATATTGTGTGATGAATTTTGTGAAAGTAGGGGGTATGTTGAACGAAAATCGTTGTACGCAGGGCGGGAATTTCAAAAATTCAAGAATTTCTTCTTATTTTAGAAAGAAAAAAAAGGAAGCTATTTTTTTTTTCAGGAAATTAAAAAAATTTAAAGGAGATAACAATTTTATCATACAACCAGTATTCTGTCAAAAAAAATCTAATACTAAAATTTTCTTTTCTCAAAACTATTATTAATTAATAAAAATAAATCAAAAAACTATGTCATTTGTAGCTTGGGTTTTCAAGAATATTTGCACAATTCTTGTAATTAAAAGAAATATTCCCTCTTGAAAATACTCTTTCCCAAAAATTAAGTTTGAAAAATAGAAGTTTAATCACTTCTCTTTGCTAGCTATTGAAAAGAAAATTGTTGAAATTTGTGAAGCTTCAAAAAATAAATATTTTTTTATTTTAACACTCACCTAATATTTAAAATCATAAAAGTATTAAACAGAAACACGTCGTCGTATTTGTTGAATTCATACTTGTTATTTATTATGTTTTCTAACCCTTATTGGAAAATAATGACAAATGTTTGTTCACCATTTTGTACAAAAAAGGGTTTGATCACGCACAAACTATTATCAATGTTTTTTATTTGTTGAGAATGTTATGCAAATTATGCTATCACATACGTGATTGCATAGTGCATTTTTTGGAACTAGACCTTTTTTAGATTTTGTACCCTTGATCCCGAAAATTGATCTGATGCGAAAAAAAAATAAGAAATATTAATATTATTATAGGACATTATTTCGCCACCATTACCAACAAAGAGATTGAACAAATAATTTCATCTAATGGTGGTATTTAACATATAAAATACGCATATAGACCGCTTTGGGCTATAAAATCTTTTTAAGAATAATTTGATTGGATTAGCAAGCATGCCTGTATTTACTTTTTTATTATTTAAATTCTTACTTTTTATTGGTTGAAGTTTGTCACTAAAATTTTGGGGATGCGTGAATCTGCCATATAACCGTGTATTGAGATCTCCAAAATAATGTCATATTCTTCTTTGTACCACTAAACTTGTACCCAAAATCCATTCATACTTATTATAATAATAAATTACTTTCCCTTATTTACTCTGTCAATATTATTGTGGAAAAATAGAAAAAAAGCTCCCGAGATCTAAATTATCTCCTATTTCTGGTGTAAACACATGCAATATTTAAAAAAAACTTATAAATCTATTATTAAATTTGAAATTTTAAAAATATATTATAATAATAGTATAAAATGTGAAAAACCAAAATTTCCCCCTGTAGTAACTTCTTTTTTTTCTTTCAATTATATAGTCTTTTCACCAAGGACACTTTCTTTTTTTTATTTATTAGTGTAGTATATATATATATATATATAAAAATAAAATGTCGATATTTAAAAAAAAGAAAAGTGTAAATGTCGAAAATGGAACTTTTATTAGTTTGGAACAACATTCTTCCTCAATTATCGATGATAGCACCACAGTAACAGCTGCTACTACAATGAGTTCTATCACAGCAGCTACAACAACAACAATAACAAACCAAAAACAACAACAAACAACAGCTACTTCAAAAAGACGCGTTTATGTAAATATGCCTTTACCACCAGAAGAATTAGATCAATATGACGAACCAATAATAAAATTTGCATCAAATCGGATCAGTACTTCGAAATACACTTTGTTAACCTTTATACCAAAAAATTTATTTGAACAATTCCGGAGAGTGGCAAATATGTATTTTCTTTTCCTAGTAGCACTTCAACTTATACCTTCAGTAGGTGGTGGTGTTTCTCCCATTTTAGTGGCTTCCCCACTATTCACTATCATCACTATGACTGCAATTAAAGATGCTTTTGAAGATTGGAAACGTCATACTCAAGATAAAACACTTAACAATTCTAAAGCTACGATAATATCAAATTGGGTAAATGTCAATATGCCATATGGCGGCAGTGAGCAATTTAAATCCTTGCGTAAAATATTGAATCGTTTTTTTGGTTATAAAATCAAAAAATCAAACTGTAATTACAGTAATCGTAGTAAGCATCATCATGATAATGATAGTGATAATAGTAATGTTAATAATAATAATAGTAATGATAGGTCGATAGTGGTTCCATCATCATCCCGTACAAACAAAACAAAAGTTTCAGATATAAAATGGTCTGATGCTCATTGGCAAGATGTTAAAGTTGGTGATATCATACGATTAAATAATAATGATCAAGTGCCGGCTGATATGATAATTTTATCTACAAGCGAACCAGATGGTCTTTGTTACTCGGAAACAAAAAATTTGGATGGTGAAACAAATCTTAAAGTTCGTCATTGTGTGTCCGCAACTTCATCAATAAAATCTGAACAAGATTGTGGGACTGCTTCTTTTTATGTTGAATCTGAACCACCAAATGTCAACTTATACACATTCAATGGAGTTTTACATTGGATCGTAAAAGATGGCGCCGACATTAAAACTGAACCCATATCTATAAATGACGTTTTGTTGAGAGGTTGTGTTCTTCGTAATACCGAGTGGGTTATAGGCTTAGTGCTATATACTGGAACAGATACCAAAATTATGTTAAATTCTGGCGATACGCCAAGTAAAAGGAGTCGAATTGAAATAGAAACAAATTTTCATGTATGAATTATAATGACATTGTTTGTTTTTGGTGGTGGTTGCAATTATTTAAAAATTTAATTATTTTGAACTTATATATATATTTATAGGTTACCATGAATTTTCTTATACTGTTTTTTCTTTGCCTTGGATCTGGTATAGCACAAACTATTTATTATATCCAGCCAAGAAGTTCTTCAGAAGTTTTTGATTATGATGGAAATGATGATGTTGATAGTGGTCCATTTCTAAGCGGTTTCGTGACTTTTTGGTAGGAAAATATAATATATATAATATATATATATAACCATGCTTTAATTATATATATATATATATATATATATATATATAATAACCATATTTTAATTCCTATAGGACAAGTATGGTTTTATTTCAAAATATTGTACCTATCTCATTATATATTACAATCGAATTGGTTAAAACTATGCAGGTATTAAGAAATGATCAATTAAATATATTGACTGATTTAATTAATAATTAATTTTTTCTTTGTTTTTTTTTATATATATAAAAAGGCATACTTTATTTATTCAGATATTGAAATTTATTATGAAAAGCTTGATTATCCATGTGTTCCAAGGACTTGGAATATTTCAGATGATTTGGGTCAAATAGAATACATTTTCTCAGATAAAACTGGTACATTAACTCAAAATGTTATGAAATTTCGTAAATGCACAATCAATGGTATCGCTTATGGACTGGGCGAAACTGATGCAACACATGGTGCTAAATTACAATCAGGTGATGATGATGCTATTTATGAAGAAGATAATGGAGATGAAATTGATATGGATGCAGAGAAAAAATTAATGTTGGAAGAAATGTCAAAACTGTTTTATAACAAATACATTTCATCAGATTTCTCATTTATCGATCCAAATCTTTTTCGAGCTTTAAAAACTAAAGACCAACAATCAAAAGCAATTCAAGATTTCTTTTCAGCTCTCGCATTATGTCATACTGTGCTTGTTGAAAATCCTGATGAAGATAATCCTTATAATATTGTTTATAAAGCTCAATCACCAGATGAGGCCGCCTTAGTTGCATGCGCTAAAGATGTTGGATTTGTATTTACTGGACGATTCGAAAACACTTTAGTGATTGAAGTGATGGGTGACTGTAAACATTTTGAATTGTTGAATGTGTTGGAATTTAATAGTAATAGGAAAAGAATGTCTGTTATTGTACGTTCACCTGAAGGAAGCATAATATTATTGTGTAAAGGTGCTGATAGTGTGATTTATGAACGGTTGGAAAAGGATTGTCAATTAAAGTTACGTGAAGATACTTTGTTGGATTTACAACATTTTGCTAATGAAGGTATTTATACTTGTATATTTTATATTTATCGTTTAATACATTATTATTTATCATATATATGTGTATAATTTATTTCTCTAAAAAATTAATGAATAGGACTTCGGACATTATGTTTAGCGTATCGTATTATACCAGATGAAGAATATGCTGAATGGTCATTAAAATATGCTGAAGCAGCAGCCAGCATTGATAATAGGGAAGAGAAAATAGAACAAGCATGCGAATTGATTGAACATTCATTAGTATTGATGGGTGGTACAGCGATTGAAGATAAGCTTCAAGAAGGTGTTCCTGAGACAATAGCCACATTAGCAAAGGCTGGAATAAAGTTATGGGTGTTAACTGGTGACAAAATAGAAACGGCCATAAATATTGGGTTTGCATGTAATCTATTGCAAAATGATATGACCTTAATCATAATCAATGCTTCAGATTTGCCAAGTACACTTGCTCAATTACATGAAACAATGTTAAAATTTTTTGGTAATGATGTTGATAAAATAAATAAACATGCATTGATAATTGATGGGGAAACGCTCAAGTATGCACTTGATGATTCTGTCAAGCAACATTTATTGGATCTTGGAAAAAGGTGTCAAAGTGTTCTTTGCTGTCGTGTAAGCCCATTACAAAAGGCCAAAGTTGTTGAAATGGTAAAAGATGGTCTCAAAGTAATGACTTTAGCTATTGGAGATGGTAATACTAATAATTATAGCAATATCATGATTTTTTGTATACTATTATATATATAATACTTATATTCTTATTGTATATAGGTGCTAATGATGTTAGTATGATACAAGAAGCAAATGTTGGTGTTGGAATAGCAGGTGAAGAAGGTCGCCAAGCAGTAATGTCAGCAGATTTTGCTATAGCACAATTTAAATATTTGGAAAAACTTTTACTTGTTCATGGCCGTTGGTCTTATATTAGAATTGCAGAAATGATATCATGTTTTTTTTACAAAAACATTGTTTGGACAATTGCAATGTTTTGGTATCAAATTTGGACCGGGTATAGTATTTTTGGTTGTTTATTATATTTTTATTTATGATTTTCTTTTAATTAATAAATTTTAATAATAATAATAGATTTACAGCTCAATATCTTTACGACTACACATATATAATGCTTTATAATCTTATATTTACAGCATTCCCTGTCATGTTTTTGGGTAAATATTTTATTATTAATATTTTGCAAAAATAACTAGCATATATTTTAAAAAAATAACATATTGATGTTTTTTACAGGTACTTTTGATCAAGATGTTAATGCAAAAGTTTCATTAAAATATCCACAACTTTACAAACGTGGAATTCTCCAAAAAGACTTTACAAAATCCAAATTTTGGTTATATGTATTAGATGCGTTCTACCAATCAATTATTTGTTACTTTGTTTCATTTGGCCTACTTCAATTCGGACAATCTCATGCAAATGGATTATCCAATGATGGATTAGAAGATTTAGGTACACTGGTAGCTGCTTCAGTCATAGCAACCACTAATTTATATGTTGGTTTGAACACCTTCAATTGGACATGGATGGCGTTTGTGATTATCTGTGGCAGCATCTTATCATTCTATTTGTGGGTAGAATTCTATGCAATCATTTACGCGTTTGGATTTTTTAGAGCTGATAGGATACTATATACTGAAATAGACTTTTGGATGTCAATTGCATTGTCAGTTATAATTAGTATTTTGCCAAGATTTGTAGTAAAATATCTTCATAAAACTTATTGGCCAATTGATACTGACATTATTCGTGAAGAAGTTTTCAAAGAAAATAATTATAAAAGTAAAAAATATGGTATTATTAATGATGATGGTGAAAGCAGTCATGTGGAGGAGGAAAAAATTCCAATGACAAAACCAATTATCATCAATTCAACAAATGGATCAAACTATGTGATATCATCATCATCATCATCCAACAATGACTCAAACATAGATTTGTCATCATTATCACAACTGCAACCACCACTAGAGTCTGAAGTAATTACAGTCAACAACAAGCAGTCTTCATCATCAAGGAACAATTCGCTTAGAAGAAAGAGAACAAGAGATTCATCGATTTCTATTGATCAAATGGTTCATATGGATTCAGGAATATGTGAGGCATTTACTGGGTTTGCATTTTCTGTTGAAGAGAGTGCATTTGAAACTTTCAGAAAATCTGTTTATAGTCCAACACAAAGACTACAACAACGATCTAACACAATATCAACGTCAACATTTAAAAGTCATTTGTCATTATTAGATGATTATCTAATCACACAACCATTAAATCGTAGTAAAACCCTGCCTAATATTTTATTTGAAAGAACATCATCAACTGCTACTACTGCTACTACCAGCAATAATAATAATAATAATAATAATAATAATAATAATAATAATGATAAAGGATCTTCATCGTCAACTGGTGGTGATAATAATGATGATGATGATGAGACAAAACAAAAAATAGTTTAATATTCATTGACAATGAATGGTGTTAATTTTTAATTTTTAATTTAGAATTTTGATTTTATGTATTTTAATTTTGTATAGTAGATATTTGCACGTATTATTTTTTAATATTTCAATCAACATTATTGTAATTATTAAATTTGTATTTTTATTTATTGTTATTTTTGATTCTTTTTAATTTTCCTAATTAATGCTACTAATACCATTGTATTTATTTTTTCAATTTTTGGTCATTATTGGGGTGTGTTACATCGACATTAAAGGAAATTTTGTAACGTAAAAAAATTTAAGGTCAGCTTAAAAATAATTTTTTTGACATGTTTCGTTATTGAGCCTAGTACTATACATTTTAAAGTTTCGTTAATTTTATCGTTTATCACCAAACATTGAAATCAAAAAAAACCTCTGTCAGATTATTCTTCAATAAAACCATAAATATTTTTGCTCTAACATGTTTTAGTTATCGATCCTATATATTTTAAGGTTATTGGGCTTTATAGTAAAACAAACTCTTTAAAAAGTCTGAAATTTTATTATTGATGTTATTTGATATATTTGGATTGGTCACAGAAATTGATTATGCTTTGAGTTAATGGATGGATTATTATTAGTATTAGTGATTATATTTGAATATGGCTAATTCGAATTTAATATTAATGTGAATATGAAAGTGAATCATACAAAAAATTACACCAGTCTGTAGTAAAAATTCTCATATTTTCAGATTTTCTAGAATTTTGTCAAAAGAATTTGATTATTTGAAAAACCATTTAAATGTGTAAATTTCTTTAATAATTGCTCTAAAGCCTACATAACAATATGTTTCAAAACTTTTCTATGTTATAATCTAAGATCTTCCAATCCTCTGGTATAATTTTTATTACATAATTTTGGCTGCTTTTTCATTAAAAAACAATATTTTGCAAACCACCATTTTTTTTGAAACATGCTGTATTTCCTCAATTAACATTTAGATTCCATGTTGCCTCTATCAATTTTATAGATTCTGATTCTAACTATTATAATAACTTCAAATTTTACATTATTAATAGTGGCACATGTTTATTTTTTGTTTTCATATCAAACCTTTTATTCATTTTGTTTTTTTGGTCTATTACATAATAATTAATGATAAACAAAGATCTTCAATAATGATTTAAAATATAATAAATAAAATTAAAATATAAATTCTATTTTTCAAAAAAAAAAAAAAAATGGATCCAACAACAGGTTTACCAAGTCCACGACGTAAAACTTTTTCTGAGGAGATGGGGGTTAATCATGAAGGACTCACAACTGAAAGTCACGACTGGACCTTGGTGAAAGCTATTGATCTCGTACATGATCAAAAAATAGTTGTCATGTAAATATGCAAATTACATGTTTATTAAATTATTTTTAATTATACGAGAAATTCAATAACGAACTATTATTATTATTTAAAGTGATGGAGATACTTCAATAGAAGGCGCATGCGATGTTAGTAAACACAAGAAATATATTTATATAAACATTATATAGATATACATAGATGATTCTCACATAGATAACATTTCCTTCCTTCTTATTGCAATCAAATAAATATAGATACTTGTAAAAAACAATATATCATCAGCACCAGTTTATGATCGTTCAACTAAAAGTTATGTTGGGATGTTTGATTGGGCAGATGTGATGTCTTATTTGTTAATTGTTTTGAAAAAGAAAAATTCAATTGAACAACAAAAAAAAACTGATGCTGAACTTACCAAAGAATTTCAGGATTTATTAAAATTATCGACGGAACATCAACCAATCCCTGTTAAATTAGCTTCAGGTATTATAATTATAGAGAGAGAATCAATATGATGATTTTTTTTATTTACATTATCAGTTAATCGTAGTTATTAATTTATATATCACGAATAAACAAATTAATCAATTAATAGATTTATCCAATAAGAATCCATTTTATTCGGTGTATCCTGAAACATCTTTACTACAAGTTGTAGAATTATTCGGAAATGGAACTCATAGAGGTTAGATCTTATTTTATAAAATATTTTGAAATTAAAATTTTAAATTAATTATATTTCTTCTTTTGTAATCTTGTGTTGAATCCGGATAGTTGCTGTTTTGGATGGTGATGGTAATCTGAAGGGAATATTGTCGCAATCTGGAGTGTTGAATTATTTATATAATAATGTAAGGGGATGATGAGAGAGTTTGTCAATTATGATCAAGAGATTTGTATAATTTATTAATTAATTCATTATTACCTATTATATGAATACATTATATTAATTTGTTAGGTTACTAGATTTCCACAAATTGAAAGCCTATTCCCTAAAACGGTAAAATTTTATTTTAATATATTATATTATACAATGATAATGATACTTGTAAATAATTTAATTTATAATTTAATGTATCTTTATTAGATTTATGAGTTTGATATTGGTAAAAGTCCTGTGATATTTGCTCAAGCAGACTCTTTTGTTCTAGATGCATTGATAATGATGAGTAAGTGAAATAATCACTATTATATTATTATATTGATATATAATTACAACATATATATTTAACTGTTATATAATTATAGATGATAATGCATTAAGTTCAGTTGCTATCATTGATTCAGAAGGAATGCTTATTGGAAATATTAGTATGACTGATGTTAAAGTTTGTACTATTTATTAATTATTTTGATTATTTATTTATGTTGGTTATGGTTATGATTGATAATTTTTGTAAGAATAGAAATAATGATGATGATAACCATTCTCTATATTTTATTTTTAGTATATTATTAGAAGTTATAGTCACTCATTAATGTGGAAGACATGTCAAAAATTTGTTAGTCATGTAAGAAGTATACAAGGATTGGAAGATGGTCAGGTAAATCAAACAATCAATTAGAAATACTGTTTAAAATATGTGTGTTCACATATATTTATTCAAATATATAGGATAGGTATCCGGTGTTTGATGTTCGTACAACATCAACTTTAGGATATACAATTGCCAAATTGACAGCCACAAAAGCACATCGTGTATGGGTGGTTGATGAGAAAATAAAAGCTGTAGGAGTTGTAAGTTTAACAGATATTTTGGGTGTCTTCGCTCAAGCAGCTGACGGGAATCTTTCACTGAATAAACTATCAGGATCTACTTCTTCTTCTTAAAAAGTGAATTAAAGGATTAGTAAAGGATTAGCGAATATGTGAATGAATGATGAATATATATATATATATATATATATATATTTCTTTCTTTCTTTACCAAATATTATAAATAAATTTTGAGTTGATATGTATTTATTGCATTTTTAAATATTGAAAGATAAATAAATTATCATCTAATATTTTACATACATGCATTTATATTTTATCCAGATAAACAATTATGTAACAAATAATGCTTTTAGAAAAATCTAATTATTGAAAATCTTTTAAAAGGAAAAAAAAGATTATGGTTTTTTAATTATATATTAAATTATTTCTTACATTTCAATAATAATAATTTTAAAAAAAAACCAATTAAGTTCTAGGTTTTTCTTTCTTTTCTTTATATCTATATAATAGTGATATAAATATAATTAATTAATTAATTAAAAATAAATATTAATGATCATGATCATAATAAATTGATAACTTACAAAGCAAGAAGAGATACACCAGAGACTTTGACCACTTTGAAACGAACACCAGGAATA